TTTGTCAGAGTCCTTAAACATGGCCCCATATTTTGATCCTTAAGAAATTTTGATCCTTAACAATCCAACGTGTGGTATTTCACATTAAGGAAACATCAGAGATGCAGGATTTATGGCTGAGAATGATAATCACAGCACCACTTATTTATAATGGTGAAGAATTAAATAAACACAGAGAGCTTAATGGTTGTTGATACAGGTATGGTCAATAAATTACTTATAATAGAAATTATACAGCCCCTTTCAAGTCATGTTCTCAAAGAACTGATGTGAAGAATTGCTTTCTCTGTGCTGTTAGATGAAGAATGGATTAGAATTCTGAGTTCCGTGTGAACTCACAATAAATACTAACCAGAAACTACTGGGAGGACACACTCTCAGTACAAAGTGATTTTTCCCTAGGTGTTGGCTTTCAAGTGATTTCAGTTTACTCCTTTGTATATTTTATTTCTAGGGAGGTTTGTATGAAGACCACGTGTCTTTTGTAGGAAGGAAAAAGGAAACATGGCTTAAAAAAAAAGTCAAAGCGTGGCCGCGCCTTTTGCCTAAGTTAGTAAATTTTGCAGCTACCTGGGTGGACCCCTGAGTGGATACCGCTTGTCCTTCCTTCCATGGGTGATGCGAGATGTAACTCTGCCGTGCCTTCCAGTGTTCTCTCCTTGGTGTTCAGATTGTTTACTCTGGAGTTCTATTTAAGATGATTGATTTGGTGCATTTGAATCAATGTCTTGCTTTATAGTCCCAGGTTACCTTTCTGTAGTGTCTGGTTAGATACACATGGATAAAGAGTAACAGTGAGGCGTCATAAAGACTTCAACCTTTTTCTTATCTGATGAGTGTCATAGAAACCACCGATCTTAACTGATTTATTAATAGTTACAATCCTAAACTCTTTATAACAAGGTTTGTGCCTGATCCCATTTTTCAGGGGGAATGATTTTCTTGGATTCTTAAATGAGTGGGGAAAAGCAAATACTTTTAGTATGATACACGTAGTTTCTAAGCTTGTTTCTCCCTTGAAATTGTGAGGACATAAAATTACAACACATTCAGTAAAACCCTAGCACGTTAGGGAGTTTGGCAAGAGTCATTTTTGGAATGTTAGGGGGAAACTAAATCTCCTTTTGAAATTTCTTACGTTTTAAAGTTTCTATGTTCTCTTTTAATTAAGTTGACATTATTAAATTAAATTAAAATGTTTATGAGAGCCAAGAATCGATGTTTATTTTAGGACATGTTCCAAACTCTCCAATGCAATGACTTACCAGTGTAATGGTCCAGCCATGCTGCCCGGTACGACAGCCACTTGCCACATATTTACATTTAAAGTCACTAAAATTTAAACTCAGCTCCTTAATTGCAATAGCCATATTTCAAGCGTTCAGAAGCCCAGGCTAGTGGTTCCCATTCTGGGCTGGGCTGATATAGAAAGTGTCAGTGGACATTCAAAAGGGGCAATAAAACCGCGATAATTTCTGATTAGTTTTAGAGTGATATCAAATGAGTATTCTCCTGCCTGGCCTACTATGAAATTATGCTCTATAAATACACACCAGGTAAAAGAAAGTGGCACCATAGGGTTGAAAGAGAGTGGTTGTTAGTGCATTAACTTTGGTTCAGATAAATAGCTAATTGAAGGATAAAATATACAATTAATACTAAAAATATGTAGTAAATTCATAGCACTTTAGGGTTGAAGAGGAGTTTTGATTGCATCTAATCAAGCCCCTCTATTTAACTGATAAGAAATTGGGGAACAGAGAGGTTAAGCAAAATTTATGTCACACAAGTAGATAGTGGCCTCGTTACTCCTTGTTCAGTGAAAAATGGCTTTTTCACTGGGCAAAGACGAGTTTTGTAAGAAGTTCCAGTGCTGTAATTCTGTCGTTGGTCAGAGATAAGAAGTGCCCGTTGTTGTAAAATTTATACAAAATCACAAAGCATATTCTCTGAAACAGGACGTTACCTCGTAAAAGCCTCTCCTTCTGAACCTTTATATGTCTCTGTGAAGAAAAAATCTTGCTTCGACTAAGAGCCGACTTTACCACATACTTGAAGTTATATACAATATATTTTAAGAATCAGAAGGGGGCTGTGAGTGCAGCTCAGTGGTAGAGCCCTTGGGTAACATGAATGAAGCCCTGGGTTCAGTCACTGGCACTAATAATAAAAGAAATAATGCTTTCTTTCAAAGTAGCCATTTAAAATTGTTAGGAAAGTGCTTTTTGTTCTGTTTTTTCTAATCCTACCTTTTTTTTTTTGGTCTTATTTATTTGCTTTTTGTGGTTCTGAGGATCCAACCCAGGGCTCCATGCATGCTGCCACTGAGCTCTATGACTGCTCAAAACATTTTGTTTTTATTTTGCAAAGCTCAGTGGATCAGTTCTCGCGGGTGAGACTTGCCGCATCACCTAACGCCATTTAAAGTGAATGGATTTTTCAGAAAAGCAAGCGAATAGAAATTACTTGTGAAGTGGCATGCTACTCTCATGCTTAATGTGCTTCCCCCGGAACTGCGTATTTCTGTAAGTTCCATTAGTGCCGAGAGCTGGCTGTGCAGGTGAAGCCATTCCTTCTAACGGCTGTGACGACGTGCTGTGAAGACTGTGCTTTGTTGCGATTATGTCTCCAGCATTCTGTGACGCCTCTCAGATGCTGCTTTAACCCGTCTCTTCATCCTTCCGCGGGTCTTAGTTCCGCCCCTGCTCTGTGCCTTCTTGTTTTCGATTGGCTTCCGTTTGGGGTTGCCCGATCCACCCAGGTTGCACGTGTGTGGCCACCCCCGTAGGAGAGGTTCGTCTGTGATCGTGCTGGTCATTTCTCTTCCCGGAATGGCATCCGGCAGTTGCCACCCCTGCCTGCAGAAGGGCGTGCGTGCACGTCTGGTCCTTCGTTTGGAAACTGTTCTCGTCTGGGCTTAGCCTGCTTCCCCGTCCTTACTCCCAAGCCTTTGCCCAAATATCACTTCCTGAGGTATTTATTGCCTGGCCACCATCTCCGTAATTATCATCCTTTCCCATTGCTTCCCTAATCTTTCCTGCTATTTCTTTTGAAAATAGCCCCGATCACCTTCTAACAGACCGTCTAACTTACTAATTAAAAAAATGTATTATCTGTTTCTCCCGTTGGGATGTAATATCTACTAGGACAGAGAGTTCGTTGTGTGTTGTCCCACACGTCTTCTGGTGCTTCGAACAGTGCCTAACGTTAATGGGAGATCAGTAAATGTTTGGGAATGGGTAGTAATGATAGCGCCGGCTCACACAACTGGTTTCCACCCTCTACACTGAGTTGCCTTGGAAGTTTTCACATGGTTTGGCTACACTGTTTACTGTTGACTCTCCGTGCTTAGTATCTCTTCTACCTTCTTGAGTGCCTGTCTCCTGGTCGCATGAAGTTGCCCAGGCTGGCCTTGAACCTTGAATCCTCTTGACTCAGCCTCCTGGTTAGCAGGGATTACGGAGAGTACCACTGCCCTCAGCTCCTCGTGAGGCTCTTGAGCCTGTGATCTTATGTGACCCGTGGTTTCCTCTGAGCATTTCCCTTGAGGCTTTTTCGTTTCCTGTGAATCCTTACCTATCCATGCTCAGTTCTCTGTCGACGTGGGCTCTGTCTTGGACTCAGGAACTAGAATGTTGCTTTATACCAGCCACGGGCGTCATGAAAGATGTGGTGCTCTGTGAAAAGTGCACATCTTGAAACCAGAAGCTCTGTCAACAGGTTCACAATGAAATTTCACATGACCGGCATTTGCCTGTCCAGAGTTAGTTTTATGTGTCACTGTTATTATTTCAGGGTGCTGAAGATGGAACTAAGAGCCTCGTTCATGTCTCTGAGCTGTCCCGCCCCCTGCCCCACCCCACGAACAGTTTCTTCTAAGCTGGCGACTGCTTATCCATTGGACAAGTGGTTTTTCTGCAGATTCTATCAACAGTCACTCCCCGAGTGCCAGCAGCAGTAGCCGTAAGCTTGCATGTACTGTTCGCCACCTTAAAACCCAGCCGTCCCCCGGTGGTCCCGTTTGGTCTGCTGCTTGCGGCTCCCAGTAGGAAATCGCAGGCAGCTTCTGGGCCTGGGTGCAGCACCTGGGTGGGCTTCTTTGTGATGGTTCTGATTGCTGATGCTTGCTGCTAGGCCAGGTTTGCTTTCTCTGCCTGTGTCTTGAGTGGGTTGGGTTTTGTCAGAGTCCTTTGTTGTCCGCAGGTTTTGTACCCTGTTGTTAACAGGTCTTGAAGGAATGTTCTAAGGACAGCGCAGTTCTGCCCTCTTATTGTAGGGTTTATTTTGGCAAACTGATGTCCACTGGCTAAAGTGACCCTGCCTTCAGGGTACATTGCTGGATCTGCCAACTCTGTATTTCATACAGTATCAGAGCCTTTATGTGCATTCAGTAGCCTCTTTTATCTAGTGGTGTTTCTGCCTAAGCTTTCAGGAACTGTGCTCATCTAACGAGCTTTGAGGGGTATGAGAAAACTCCCACTTCTGGATGATTAAGAAGAAAGCACACCCAGTGTTGGTTTAGGTTCAGGTAATTTCGGTCTATACTATATTTTTTAATACACTATCTTAAATACAAGGTTCCCCAGGGTTGAGATTAAGAATGTTTGACGTTGCTTTCTCTGTTATAGCCTGCAAAGTGCTGCGATAGATTTAAATGTGTCCCTGGGCATGTCTTTAGTTATCTTTTATGTGATTTTTGTTGTTGTTGTTGGTTTTGAGACAAGGTCTTGCCATGGTCCATGCTGGATCCTCTTGTCTGCCTCTCTCTTTTTTTTTTTTGTACGGGGGATTGAACTCTGGACCTTGCGCTTGCGAGGCAGGCGGCAGAACCACTGAGCTACAGCCCTGGCCCTTGTCTCAGCCTCTTCAGTGCTGGGGTCACAGGCATGTGTCCCTGCTTCTCACTCTTTATGTGATTTTTAAACAAACATAGGGATCACATCTTCTGGGACAGGCTGGACCTGAGTTATTTGTTGACTTCTGTTCCTCAGACTTTCATTTTTGCTTCACAAAAATATGGCAAGCCTATGCTCAGTGTCGAGTGAATGAAAGATCATCTGATTGTGTACGTGGGTCTAATATGTGGCATTGACTGTCATTCCATTTACTTACTCTTGAACTTAACCTTTGTGGAAGCAAGATGCCCAGATTGCTGTTTATGAACCAGCTCAAGGTATTTTTATAATTCCTTCCCTAAAATAGGTGTTTTATTTCTTTGCACTTTGATTGAGAAGGCGCGTTGTATCCTCCCCACAGTGTCTGATGCACTTCATTTGCAACAGGTAGCTAACTTACTATGCCCTAAACTAAATTTCAGTGCTGGGTACCCGGTCCACTTTCTGTCTCTTTCTGGCTACTTCTGGCAGCAGTTTCAGCCCTTTCCCTGCCATTGCACAAATGATTAACATTCTTTTAAGAGTCTTCAGTTTTGCAAAACCTCAAAATAACTTTCATGAATGTAAACTAAATAGCACCAGAGAAGTCTATGTGTGTGCGCACATTTTAAGAAGGGTGTGGTATTCCTAGAAGATATTTTTCTAGTATGTTAGCCATGTAGTATTCTATTGATAGGTATAGATATACCATATTCATTTTTTCTTTACCTACCTACCCTTGTCCTTTTGCTGACTTAACATCTATGTATGAAATAACATAACATTGAATGAATGAAAGGTTTAAAAACATCACATAACTGTATCGAGCCACCTGGGCATAGCTGCTCCTTAGAAATGACTGCTTCTGGTATCTCATGGACTCGGACCTCAGTGAGTTGAATCGTAAGATTTTGTGAGAACTGGCTGGGGTTTCACCTGTCCCCCCCCAGTGTGATGTCAGAAAGCAACTGAGGAATGGCAGTGCTATTACATGGAACGTTGTGTCCCTTTTTCTAATTTGTAAGAGAGCACATTATTTGCAGATATTGATATTTCAGCTGGTTTTGGAGCCAGATCACTTGCAATACACGATGACTTCTTACTAAGTCACATATCTTGCTCAGGGTCACCACAGTGAATGAGGGATTGAAATAAGTCGTATTTGTTGGTGAAAATCATGTCCCTGTTAGAGGTGAGAATAACCTGTATAAAGCTGATGGTTTCGATATTATGGCCTTTGTGGCTGACCTTGTATAGAGAAACACTCATTATTCTTTATTCCCGGGACTTTCTATTGTCAACGTTGTATTGCATCCTAAATGTTATAATGAGTTGGTAACAGTGCTGTTACTTTTGGAGAGCTTAGAATCAAGTTAATATGATTAACAGAACTAAAGTGCTTTGGTTTTCTTTGTTGCATTTAGATAATTCTTCCTGTAAGATGAATTAAGGGACGGACGGGGACACTTCGTCTTCAGGCATGGAGAACAGTCTGTCAGTTTCCAATATGCAAGACCCTTCCTCTTCTCCCTCGGAAAAGCAACTCGACTCAGCCAATGGAAATGGTGACCTTGATTCAGGTAGGACTTTGCCTGCTCCATCCTTCTGGCTTTTGGTTTATTGCCCCATATCTTCTGGAAACATTCAGTGAGCAATGGGGGAAACATTTTGAGATTGCACAGACTGCCCATTCCCAGGATTTGCTGTCCCGTTTCCAGAGATACACTATAGCAGTTTTAATGTTACGCAAGTTTTGGGTTGAAATAAATATGACTTTATTAGGCCAAGCAGACTAAGTAATAGTGAGGCAGTGCATCACTTTAAAATGTAAGTGGCTGGTACCAGGACCCCAGATGCTTTGTGCCACGGAGTCCCTGCACAGCATCCTGTGACACCGCACTTTAGCACGGTGCCCAGAGTGGTTGATGCTGGCAAGTGGTACAGGAGAGTGCTGAACCAGCAGTCCAGTGCTCTAGGTCGACAGAGACAAATGCTGATTTTGCTGAGAACCCCTTGACCAGAAGTTACTCACATCTTCCTGCTGTTGCAAGGCAGGCTGGGAAACAGAATTCTCTCCCAAGTGCCAGACAGAGACCGGAGATCCAGGTCTACCCAAATCTGTAGGAGAGGCTGTGACAAAAGATGTTCCCCGAGAGCATTCAGCATGTCTTTCAGGAAAGTGTACGATGTGAAAGAAATTTAGGTCCGGTGGATTTGTGGTCCGGTGTTCTCCCCAGAGGTACTCTGATAAAACAAAACAAAAACAAACAAAACCCCCACAGCCTTTGGCTGAATTGTAATATTTGCCCCATGCATTATAAGTGCATCTTTTTTCTAGATACTTATATAATAAAAGGTTTATTTAAAAAAGATATCTTTTTTTAAAGTTTGCACTATTCATGCATAACAACGAATTAAGTAAGAGTAGTTTAGTGCTCTGATTCATAGACATTTGCTGTGGTGAATTCATGTGAAAAGAAATGCTCACTAACTCAGTGGGAGATTTAGCTGCTGCCTAAAGAAGTTGCCAGGTTCGTCCCACATTTTGATCAGATTAGTTGATGATACAATGACAGGTTGCTTAATATCATTCTCTTAGTTAAGTTTCTCAGATTTGATCTCTATTTTGAAAAAAAATCTGGAAACAAGTGAATGCCATTATTAGATGAAATAACATTAGTATCTGCTTCAAGATAAGCTCAGCAGTGACACTTTTGGGTTTTTTGCATGAAGTATGAGTAACAAAACTTCAAGTGGACCTGAGTCACTGTCCCTCCTTTGGAAATTGAGGCATCTGTCCATACACTGAAGGTTCATCCTAACCTACTTGTGTTGAAGTATAGTTATGCCTTTTAAAAACTTTCTTATGTTTTCTGAGTGAGATAATTTTTCCATTTTGGGGTTCCTGGGCTTTCATGGTGTTTTTGTAGTATATCACCCACATACATCAATGTCTAATGCCTTGTCATTTTCAGTGGTATGTTTTCAAAGCTATTTAAAAGCCAGTGATGTATTGGCTTTTCATTTTCTTACAGCTGTGCCTAATAGCTCTCTTGCTTTCTCTCTGTTTCACTGTTTCTAGCTTAAGTAGATTCTGAAACTCATCAATGACAGTCTTCTGTTGGGACACTATCTGTTCCCATGTTTCCTTGAGGTGCCCCTGTATAGCAGGACTGAGTGCAGAAATGGCAGGATGTTCAGACTGTTGACAAAAGTAATCCTTCTAAATAATTCCAAATTTTCCTTTTCCAGATATTGGCCCAGGAGTCCGCCCACCCCCATTCTTGCCCTGCTCTTTGGAATCTCCCTATGACCTGTGTGGTGCCTTAGACTCCAACTTTGTAGAACATAGTGGCTGATTTAATTCTAGAAATTCAAATCTAGTTTTGAGCATTTAAACGCTTTATATAATGAGTCATAGTTAAGTGTAAGTCTTCAGCTTATTGATTGATCGATTGGTCGATGTGTGAACGATTAAACCTGGGCCCCTGGGGCCTCCGTGCTCTACCATTGAGCTGCATGTGAAGCCCCATTTATTATTTTTTCCAGTGTATTAATGTGAAAAATATTTTCAGTTCTGGAATCCCTTGTGCAGATGTAGTTCTGAGATTCATAGGATGTGCTCAGGTTCTACAGAGTCTTAGTCCTGAAGGAACTTTCCCAGGAAGCTTTCAGATGAGATTTATGCATCTGATATAAAAGAGAAAGCAGGTTCATGTTCTTCAGTGGGCCCTAAATTGGCTTGTGAGTGAAGGGCTTCAGTTAGGTGAGGATGTGGTGTAGCTATAGGGCAGGCACGCAGACTTGATTCCTTCACTGTTTGCTCACTAATCCTGTAACATTCAGTGAAATGGTTGTTATTGTGTGCACTTTATAGATGAGGAAGCTGGACAGCCAGGCCAAGTCATCTAGGTGGTGTGTTGGCAGCAGGGCTTGATCTCAGGCACCCTGAGGCTATGAAACCTTGGGTTGAGGTCGGGTTCCCTGCAGTGAACAAATCCGTACTGGGCATGTGCTAGGTATCTTTTAAAATCCTTTTCAGGGCGGGGATAAGTCGTCAGGAATCACCCTCACCCCACGCACCATTGTGGGACAAGGATACAACTCATCTTCTTTCTTTTCCTTTCCTCGTGTCCCCACCGACTTTGTTATGTGCCACATTACAGCGCTTTCCTAGCCAGTGACTGCATTTCAATGACGGCAATTCTTCTCTGAGAATATCATGGGGTCAAAGAACGGGAACCTAAGCTGGTGGCTCCAGGATGTTTTCCTCTGTGTCATTCAGATCTCCAAACCGGCAACTCCGGCTGATTCCTTGCGGCAGTGATCCCTTCAGGTAGAAAACGTTAGCCCAAAACAATGGACTCTGAGTCTCACTGCAGTAAATTTTTTTCTTTTGCCTTTTTTCTTGAGGAAATCTCAAATTCTAATAGAGATCAATAACTGGCACCCAACTCCTGTAAGTGAATTAGACACAATGTAAAAGGATGCCTGCCTCCTCCCAGGGACTGTGGGTGTGTGGTAGACAAGGGAGCCTGGAAGCCTTGGGTCTACCCTACTCAGCACGAGTAGCCCACCCCAAGGCACATGAAGAAGCCCGTTGCTGTGCTTCTAGGTGGCTTCAGTGGCTGTGATAGAAGCAAGCAAAACAATATGCTGGCATCCTGATAAATAGATATCAGGACACTGCTCTCACAGGCCTGCCCAGGATGATTTCCTGATGAAGCCCATAGACAAAGTGGAGCTGCGTGTTTCGGCTGAGAAAGCCTCTGCGTGGCAAGAAGGAAAGCTGTAGAACGGGGCTGAGCCATTTTCTTTCTTTTTGAGGGTGTGGGGAATGCATGACCTAGAGAACCACAGTCTCTTCTGTTCGGGAAGAAAAGGATGAAAGAGCCAGCGTTTTTTAGAATTATTTAGAGCCTGTTTTTCACTCTGAGGCCCCGCTCCATAGGACGCAGTGGTATTATCCCCTCTCACCCCTGTTTTTCTAATCCTCTTCAGAGCAGTTTGCTGCTTCCCTGGGGTAGGTGATTTTTGTTTTCCCCCCTAGAAAAACTAGCCATGTTTAGTTTTGACAGCCGCAGGGCCCTTTGTTTCTTTATGACTCTCCCCCCTGTGGGTTAGTCCTGCCATCGTGAGCTCAGATGGGTTGGTGGCTTCTGTCCCTTTTGGAGTTATTTCCATAGCTCAGAGTTATGTTATTTTCTACACCTTGTAATGGTATGAATTGTCCACAATTAAATTAAGAAAGTTTTGATGTCTTCTTCCTGTCTCTACACATTAAAAAAAAAAATGCCCAGCACACACTCACTAAGATTTTTCGTCTGTTCTGAACGTTCCAGTTGGCAGCCCCTTTATTGAGTCACATTCAGCCTTGCAAAGTCAGCTTCATTTCACATTGTAAAATGGTACAAACCCAGTGTTTTATTAAGAAAAAGATGGATAGGCTGTTGGTTGATTTCATTTTTCATTCTAAAGTCACTTTTACTCCAGCTTTTAATAAAGTATTCTTTTTATGTTATTATGGAATATTCTGGCCCCACAAATAGCTTTCTGTTTGCTAAAACTGGATCACCACTAATGAACCTGCCTGTTTTCTTTTAAACTGTGAGGTTTTTAGTAGCTTTTTGGAGTCGGTTTTCATGACATCATGGGAAATGCCTCCCACTGGTTCATTTCGGTGGAGGAGATTGTCAGAGTTTCCTTGATAAAATGTTTATGGGCTTAAGAGGTTTATGAATCAGCCGTAAATATTTGCTCTGGGTTTATGAGACCTCTCCTCATAAACAGTGTGTGTTTATCTATTGCTCATTGAAATGTCTTTAGAGAATCAAATGTGTGGGGCCCAGAGGCAAAAGGCAAGGCTGTATGTGACAGATTTTAAAAGGCCACATTATGAGTAACCCTAAATTTTGTGTATGACTTTATTCTTCAAACAGTCTGGTTAAAGTCACCAGGTTAAAGTCACCATTTCTGCGCATACAGTTTTTATTTTTTGTAATCCCATTCTAGGCCTGACCTTTGGGGTGCTTTATAAAGGGATTTCTTTAAGTCAGCAGAGAGTGGAAGAGTTGACTTTCTGATGCGGCGGAGGAGGTAGAGTGGGGGCGGCGGATGAGTGGGTGTTCAAGACTAGAGAGGCTGCTGTGTTGGAGAAGGGCTAAAAGTGTAGCTTGAAATGAGTTACAGTTTGGCAGCAACAAAATTATTGTCAAAATACTAATAGCATAGATGACAACTGCAGTAAAGGCCCTCTAAGTCAAAGGTGGGAATTCTAGACCCTCTGACTGGAAGGGAGAATTGCAGCTAACGGGAATATGGGAACACGGAATGTTAGTCCGCAGGGCCTCTTAGCCACGGTGCTGGCTCCAGCCTCAGTGTGTGTGAAGGTTTTTTGAGGCAAAGCGACTAAGCACTCAGCTAGAAGGTCCTGCCCAGTTTTCAGTAGCTCTCGTTCTCTGGTGACTGCACAGGGACTGAGTTTCATTCTCAAGTCTCCCCCTAGCTTTCAGTCTTCCTCATAAGCATCTGGAGCCCTGTCCCCACAGCCATAGACAGGACAGCCTCTGAGGCTCCCTCAGAACCTGCTGTGGGAGAGAGGAGGCTTCTGGCGCATGGTGCAGGCAGAAGAAGGACTTTCTAGCAAGGGTTTCAGCTTCCCAGGTCAGACAGCTTGTCTCGGGCCCTGATTCTGAGCGGGGAACTCTAGGATCGGGTGATTCTCTTACCTGACCTACCCTTAACACTTCCTCCTGTACGGCTCAGGCTTCGCGGAAGGATTGTGAGGTCCTGCTTCTGGAGCACTTAGCAGATAGTGGACACCCAAGCACAGGCAGCTCCTAGGATGTTGTTCCCTGGGAAGTTCCTCCCATAGTAAGTATGTGGTCCCACCTGGCAGCGACAAGAGGGCAGAGGACAAGTGAGGTCAGACGTTGGGGTGGTAAGAAGCTCCAGACTTTGTGACAGGTTTGCAACCCTCGGACACCACACCGACACGTTTTGGCAAATGTGCATTGCTGTGTTACTGCCTCTGACTGGTGGATCAGAAAGCAAATTTGCAACAGGCACCCGGAGCTATTTGAGGAAGAAGGTACTATGCTATGGGCCAAGTTTGGGTGCCACCCGAGATCTTTTCCAGAGTAAAACTGTGTTATCTTTGGGTTACTTTACTGTGTCTTAGCAGCGTTAAAGCTCCTGGCATCACCCCTTCAAAGCTGGGAACTCTGGGCCTGTTGGATATTTGTTTTTTGGGGGGAGCACATGTCTGTGTGAAGGGCCCAAAAGTCCTCGGATGAAACAGAATGTTGGCAGAGAGACAAAAGGAAAGGCTTTCCCTTCAGATAGGTTTTTCTTCTCCCTTTGGACATTCGGTTCTAAGTCACTTATTGGAGTAAGATTTGAGAGGCAGTTCCAAGGAACTTCAATTTTAGAAGGCAAAATTTAAGCTTGCTGCCTTTCAGCTTAGCATCTTCTGATTCTATAAAAATACTCATCTATCAAATTGTGAGACTACATAGAATATAATGAGAAGATTACTTTTTCTACTTTAATTGAAAAATCCTAGTAGGGAAAAGTGATAGCCTCCAACACAGAGCTTCTCTCCCAGACCCTCCCATCCCTGGTTCCCTGGTCCGTCTGGTGGGACATGGCACGTCTGTATTAATCACTTCCGCTTGGCTTTTAGTGAAAGCGGCTCTTGCTTCTGAAGGATACATGGGTTGGATGTCAGCATCCACAGAACATTCTTGCAGGAGAGGAGAACCTAAACTTTTGGAGCTTCTTTAATATATGTGGGTGGCTCTTCTCGCTGGGATTTCTTTCCTTATGATTGTCTTGAAGTAGGTTAAAATACTGTGGAGAGCTTCTTACCTCTTTCCATTCGACATATAACATATATGCTGCCTATATCTTAAAATGCACCATTTGGTGCTTTTTAGTAATACAAATGATATCTTGTGTGTAGCCTTAAATGTTTTGGGAATTGCTTGACCTCCTTTTGGGTGTGAGGATCTGTGCAAACTTAAAACACTTGTGATTTTCAGAGCCAGGGTGGGCATTGGATTGTGGTTTTCTTTGTTCCTTGTGATTGGGGAAACACATTCTACTGGTGTGAGAGGCCCTGAGGGCTGTGTCCCAGCTGGAGAAGGGGGCATGCAGGTGTCTGGCAGCTGATCTGTTTCTGTCACCAACTTGCCAGGTGCTAACACAATCCTTTTGAAGCTCCATTTTCCCTTCTTTAAAATGTCATCAGAGTCATTGTTGTCCAAAGTCCCACGTAACAAGTAACAGTCGAGGATATTCTTCTATAATCTCCAGCCACAGTAGGTAGCCCGGTGTTGCCCATGCATATCAAGGTGCGAACGGAGTGTTGGAAGGCTCTGTTCCTCAAAGGCCAGAGTGTCTGCCTTGGCTGATACACTACCATCAGCAAATCAGTCCAGGGAGGATTTCCATTCATTTGCCACAGAACACAAATGTTGCTCTTGATTTTTTTTTTTTTTTTTTTTTTTTTTTTTTTTTTTTTT